CTCTAAAGCTAGAGGGCTTACGACTTCCATACTTCTCATGGGTTTGAAAACAATTAACATCGGGTATTTGTTAGCACTGAAAAACAGTGATCACTAGGTAACTTTCAATACATATTAATCATTTTGACACTATGTTATAAAACTGTTCTCTTTTGAGATAATGCTTACCCAAAGAAGGGGAGGGTCCTTTTAAGGATAAAATATTTAGTGATAAATATTAGAGTTAATTCAGTTATCTTTTATTTATAACTCAAGTAAATTAATCAAACTGAATTGTGGCCGATTTAACCTGACATAATAAACTTAGAAAGTTCCATTATCGATGTAAGGTCTCTCTTACCCAGTACACATTACATGTTGATGAGTGGTATTAGGGTTAGGTGATCTTTAAATAAAATAATAATGACAACAGTCACTTTTGTTTGAAACTGGTAGCTGCGTTCTGACTCAAGAAAACTTCTTTCTGTTACTTCTGTAATGTCTTAGACATTTCTATGTCAGATTAGAAAGCTACACCATAACAAACAACACAAGTAACAAAATAATAATCAAACTCTAAATGCAAATATAAATTAAAATAACTTAGATGATAAAAGAATTATAAAAAATCTAACTTACCAAACACTGAAGACATGAAAGACCTAAATTATCATGTGAGGAAAATAGGTCAATCCCCACAAGCTCACTAAACACGGGTATACCTACTGGGAGTGAGGAATACACACTGAAAAACTTCCCACAGAAGAACAATATCTAAACCAGGATATTACATGGATGTCATGGTAACAGGTGCTATAGAAAGAAACTTCCACTCTGTAGTTATATCTTTCTTCACACAAATCATTAGGTGAAAAAGAAGAAATCGTTGGCTGAACGTAACACAAGAACTCCCCAAGAAATATAGCCTGTACTTCCCCAGATACCATTGTTGACTATCGCAGAAATTTCATCATCAACCATATTAAATCTCAAATCTATATAAACAAATTAGAATTCAGAAAACAGAAATCATTTAAAAAAACATACGAGTAGAAACAAATGGAAATCAAACCTCGAAGTTGAAACTGATATAAATCTGTGATCAAGCACAGTCAAGATTTTGTAGTCACATGGAGAGTGAGTTAAAACAAACATCTACACACTAGAATGACAACTGAGAAAGTGAAGATTGCTCTAGAAGAGTAGAGGGAGCCAGTTGGGCTAGTACAGAAAGTGCAGTATGATTGGTGGATCAGCACGTTCTGAAATTATTCGAAACTGATGGGGGAATAAAAGACTGGTGCACTGGGGGGAGGGGGGGGGAAGTGCCATTTGGCAAATACCACTTTATGGGAACCATCTGTAATCTGTGAAACTTATAATACTGGATAAACAAACAGAAGTGAAAATTACTCAAGCCTAACAATCTGTAAAAATGATAATAAGAGATAAACGAACAGAAGTGAAAATTACTCAAGTCTACTGCAGTATTTACAAACCTTATAAATTAACTCTCTAGGACCCATACCCAAATTTCCTGGACTTTCAACTTGTGCCATGCTGGTTTAAACTTGCATTTTTGTTCCTCAAACGTGCCTGCCAAAGAAACTGCAAATCTCTCAATTCGAGAGGCACAAAATTCACAATGGCCAACATAAAATATAAACAAAATCAATTCCACTAACTAAACATTGTGTGTTTTAACGAAGCCAATTACTTCATATGGGGAATTCCAGGACTCTCCCAAGACCATGATTTACCAACAGATCTTTCTCGAGAGCTGAAATTTCAGGACTTTCTCAGGACCATGACTTCTAAACAGCTGTTTTCCAGGATTTCAAAGAACTATCTAAGTCTCTTGTTTAATTTTTGATATTCCTGAGAGATTTCTGGTTGGTGCTCTCCATATCAACATCCTAGAACTTTTTGCAGTTCATCGGGCTCTGTTTCATTTCTTCCTGTGGAGGCAGGTGGTTTTGGCTTATTCCTACAATTCCACTGTCATCGGCTATATCACCAAGCTAGGGAGAACCAAGTCCAGATCTCTCTGGTGGTCCTGGCATATCATATTTCCAGAATTATATATATTGTGGCCAATCACTTATCTCGTCCCAACCAGGTTCTCTCCATGGGTGTGTTCTCAACTGGGAATACCTTCCAAAATGCTATTTTCCACTTACTGCAGTGCAAAACTTCCTTTCTTTTGGCCTTCAGTTCCACACCCCTCAGCTCTGGGGGTGGATGCATTTAGTCAAAATTAGATGGGTATTCACCTGTATGCCTACCCTCCGATCAGACTCCTCTCCGGAGTTATTTCCCATATCCAGATCACTCGTGTTCTGCTAGTTGCTCCGTATGGGTCGGCTCAGATGTGATTCCTGCTGTCC